ACCAATTACTCCTTCTATAAATAAACATCCCGACGCACATCGCGTAAAACCCCGAAAAGTCTACGTGTTCTTTTTTTCGAGTGCATTTGAGCTTAAAGCCACCCCCCTCCGAACAAATGATGATTAGAAAGTGTTGATAAATGAGAACATGATACTAATTTTGATGAAGTAGATGGTAAAGGCTGAGAGCTCATGGCTCCATTAAGGGGGTCTTCTCATTCAAAAGCCGTTTTTTGGACCCTTTTTAAAAAAATTCTTATTTGAAAACGCAAAGAATAATTAAAAACTTTTTTTATTTATTGTATTCAAAAATGTTCAAAGTAACTAAAAAAGTTGTTCTTGCCTCGATACGAGGGTTGTTCAAAGAGTAATGAGACTTCAAACTTGGTGGTCGAAAAAAAGGTGTCGTCCTGGCGGCCACGATTCAGGGTCTCCAGAGCGTCCGAAATGAAAAATAAAAACGGGGTTATAATCAGAATAGATGTCATTTTCGGCTGACGGAACAGATTTTTTTTTTAAATTTTTAAAACAAAATGGCGGCCATTCAAAAAAAAATTCGATTTCGGGCATTTTTTTTTTTTTGGAGTTTAGTGTAAAAAAAAAAAAAAAAAAATTTAAAAAAAATCTGTTCCGTCAGCCGAAAATGGTGACAATTCTGCGTCGATTCCACTTTGTTTCATGAAAATCGGTTCAGTTGAACTGGAGATATCATGGCCGCCAGTTCGAAAAACGTGGTTTCGAGATAAACGCGTTTGAAGTTTGAAAAAAGCTCATTTTGCATAGATCTTGCTTCACAAAAAAGGCTGTATCTTCTAAAGTATTTCGAATTTCTAAAAATCCTTTTGGGGACATATACACACCATCCCAAGCTATAAATAAATGCAAAAAAAAACAAGAAAGGAAGCTAACTTCGGCACGCCGAAGTTTGTATACCCTTGCAGATTGGTTTTCATATTTATGTCATAAATTATAATGCCGAAAACAGACACTAAACTGAGTTACATACCATTTTACCTATACTTATTATGTTTACAGTTTGACAGTTACAGTTATACATTCCCAGCTTTACATTTTCTCTACATCTGCGGATCGCTTCTATGGCTGCTATATGATATAGTTGTCCGACTTTCATAAAATGTATACCAAAATTCTATAATAATAAGTAAAGCTCATATCTCAGAGTAGATGAAAATACGTTGAAAAACAACGAAATTATAATTTTTATACCCTTGCAGGGTATTATAATTTCAGTCAGAAGTTTGCAACGCAGTGAAGGAGACGTTTCCGACCCTATAAAGTATATATATTCTTGATCAGCATCAACAGCCGAGTCGATCTAGCCATGTCCGTCTGTCTGTCTGTCCGTCTGTCCGTCTGTCCGTCTGTCCGTCTGTCCGTCTGTCCGTCTGTCTGTCTGTCTGTCTGTCCGTCCGTCTGTCTGTCTGTCTGTCTGTCTGTCTGTTTCTACGCAAACTAGTCCCTCAGTTTTAAAGCTATCTGAATGAAACTTTGCATATAGTCTTCTATATATTCTCACTGCTATATATGTCGGAACGAGCCGGATCGGACGACTATATCATATAGCTGCCATACAAATGATCGATAAATTTTTAGAAAAAAAATTATAACTTTGCTGTTTTTTTTAAATTTTTGCACCATTTTTTAGATATGGCCATTTTATATTATTTCTGAATTTTGGAAAAAATTTTATGAAAATCGGACGACTATATCTTATAGCTGCCATAGGAACGATCCGGAAATTAACAGGAAACAAATTATAACTTCGTTGTTTTTCAACGTATTTTCATCTACTCTGAGATATAAGCTTATTTTATTATTCTAGAATTTTGGTATAAATTTCATGAAAATCGGACAACTATATCATATAGCTGCCATAGGAGCGATCGGTAGATGTAGAGAAAATGTAAAGGTGTGAGTGTAAAACTGTAACTGTCAAACTGTAAACATAATAAGAATAGGTAAAATGTATTGAAATAATATCTGCAAGGGTATACAAACTTCGGCGTGCCGAAGTTAGCTTCCTTTCTTGTTTCTATTACTTTCCCCATCGTTCCTATGGCAGCTATAAGATATAGTCGTCCGATTTTCATAAAATTTTTACCAAAATTTTGAAATAATACCAGAAGCTCATGTGTCAAAGTAGATTAAAATACGTTGAAAAACAACGAAGTTATAATTTGTTTGATTAATTTCCCGATCGTTCCTATGGCAGCTATAAGATATAGTGGTCCGATTTTCATAAAATTTTTTACCAAAATTCTGGAATAATATAAAAAGGCTATATCTCAAAAATGATGGAATAATATTGAAAAACAGCCAAGTTAAAATTTTTTTCTAAAAATTTATCGAACATTTGTATGGCAGCTATATGATATAGTCGACCGATCCGGCCCGTTCCGACATATATAGCAGTGAGAGTATATAGAAGACTATATGCAAAGTTTCATTCAGATAGCTTTAAAACTGAGGGACTAGTTTGCGTAGAAACGGACAGATGGACAGACGGACAGACGGACGGACAGACGGACATGGCTAGATCGACTCGGCTGTTGATGCTGATCAAGAATATATATACTTTATAGGGTCGGAAACGTCTCCTTCACTGCGTTGCAAACTTCTGACTGAAATTATAATACCCTGCAAGGGTATAAAAAAATCGAAAAAAAAAAGTTGCCCAATGAGAAGACCCCCTTAACGCATGATAGATATGAGAATGTGGTGGATGGTGCTGATGGGTCATGATTCGTGCAAAATAATGAGTGGTGTTTCATTCGACAATATCTTCAGTCGACTTAAATTGCTGCAAACTATGACCCTTCTCTTTATCGAAGATTTGGAATCATATTTAAAAATCGAGAAAACTTTAGCAAAGAATGATTCCTCGCATCACAAAATAAGTGTATCGTATGATTTTAGTTAGTAGCAGAAGCAATAAGTGTATTTTGGGTAAATTTGTTCAAGTCTATCCACAATTTGTTGCGCACTGGCCAGGGTTCGAATTGTCCTTAGATGTAAATTCATGCAATCACTGAGTTCCCTAATAAAGAGTTTTTAGCCCTTTGACGATCCCTTCTCGACACCCATTAAACCAAATATTGCCTGAACGTGTGCCTGAAAATGTAAACTTTGACGGTGGTAAAAGTTGCAAGAAAATCCGGCTACTCAGAATAGGATCCATGAAACCGAGCAATCTCCAGACTTGGCAACCGAGACTTCCTAGATCGAAGAGAAAGATCCGCATTGTAAGTGATGTAAATAGAGGTTGAATTGGCAGCGGTTGACTTGCGATGGGCAGCTAGTCCTCGGTTTAGTTTCGACTTCACATCCAAGAAAACTGCAGAAAATTCAATTCGATCGTCACTCGGCGGAATCAAATGCTAGATTTAAGGAATTAATCCATTCCACTCGCGCCATTAAATCAGCTTCGTCAAACTTATCAACCAAAGCAGCGTTCAAATAAAATTTCATCGAGTTAATTTGCCATAAAATAGATTGGGATTTGGCTCGGTAGAAGTCAACGTCACTTGGGGATTCATTTTGAGCCCGAACCGAATTTTCCGTATCAGACATTTTTTTCAATCACAAGAAAAAAATTTATAAAATAAAATTTCTAACCGCGTCAAGTTAATTCGGTGCAAAACGGACCACTTTTAAAAAAATTGTTGTGGTGAAACGACTGAAGTTAGCTTAATGAATTAAGGTAGAGGAGTTATAGGGAATCTCCCGAGTCGCCTCCAAAAAAAGGTGGTATGCGGTGTACATCCTAACAGTCCACAGAATCATCCGATCAAAAAAAATTATACCTCATTCGTTAAAGGATAAGTGTCCCGAGGTACTCACGTGGCGTTTTTTTTTTTTTAATTTTTCCCCGATTTTTTATAAAAATTTGTAGTCAAAACCCTGATTTTTGGCCAAAAAACTAATTTAAATTGTTAAATTAAAAATATTATAAAATTAAAAATTAAAAAAAGCTCGACGTGAGTACCTGAAGAAGTTATGTTCCAAATTTCAAACCGATTGGTTCAGTAGATTTTGAGTTATCGTGTAGACCGATTTTCAAAATGGCATTTTTCATGAGAGCGCTTTAAACTTTGTTATGCTCATGCACTGAACACCAACCGACCTTCCTTCAACTCTGCATAACTTCGTCAATTTTCCTATGATCGATGTAAAACTTGGACACATTATTCTTAAGATATTGAGCCTTCAAAATAAAAATGAAAAAAAAATTACGAAAAAAAAAATTAAATACCTTGGCTTGGCTTTCAAATATATGCATGCATACGCTCATGAGATTACAAATGTAGTTTGGCTAAATAGATAACGCGACACCTTGGACGAGATAATAAAGAACCGAAAAGAGAAAACAGAAGAGCGCAGCAGGTGCTGTGGTACACCTATGCGCGCATGACTAGATGCTGACTGTCTGTTCCGAACAACAACTAAGTTATAATTTTTTTTTTTAATTTGTATGGCAGCTATATTATATAGTCGTCCGATCTGGCCCGTTCCGACATGTATTGCAGTGAGAGTACTCAGAAGTCTATATGCAAAGTTTCATTTAGATGACTTTAAAAGTAAGGGACTAGTTTGCGTCGAAACGGACAGACGGGCGGACAAACGGACATGGCTAGATTGACTCGGCTATTGATGGTGATCAAGAAGATGTGTACTTTATAGGGTCAGAAATGTCTCCTTCACTGCGTTGAAAAAATCTTCTTTTTATTCTTATTAGTATATAAGTAGGTTTAAATTCAGAGAATCAGAATCTCCCATATATCTGAAAAAAGAACCATCGCTCAATAAATAGAAAAAAAATTTAATAATAGTTTTTTAATATATTTTTATTTACTATGAGATATGGAGATTTTAAAAATGTTTTCTTGAAACAAATTTCCTTTAAATTTTTTATTTATTTTACAAGAAATTTCTAATTTTACCAGCGATTACTAATTCATTAAAATTAAAAAATTTTTCAGATTAAACGATGACTGGCTGTAACAAAATGGTTATTTTCGGTATATTTTACGCAATTGTAATAATTAGTGTAGAAGGTGCGCCCCAGCAAAAATCGAACGCACAAAAAAACATAGAAGAAATATTTAACACCAATGTCAACAATCCGTTACAACAAAACAGAGGAATTGGATTAATCGTTACACCCGAGCCCATAAATGCAATAACACCACAAAACTTTAATTCTATTAGTGGAAAGACAGCAGCATGCAATTGTGTTCCATATTATAAATGCGACCCTTCAACCAATAGTGTGACAGAAGATGAATCATTTGATGGGTTTGGGGTAATCGATATTCGATTTAACGCCGATGATCCCATATGCCCGTCATCTGTAGATGTGTGTTGTGCTGATAACAGAACTCGTGAAGAGGTATTGAACCCGACGCCGTTGAATCAAAGGCCGAACCAACCACGAGGCTGCGGTATTCGGAATACCGGAGGGCTAGATTTCACTCTTTCTGGGGCCTCTCAAAATGAAGCCGGCTTTGGCGAATTTCCATGGACAGTAGCTTTATTACATATTGGAAATTCGAGCTATTTCTGTGCTGGATCACTTATACATCCCCAAGTAATTTTGACTGCAGTACACTGCATTGAACCTCACGGTCCAGAAACTATGAAGGTTCGTGCGGGGGAGTGGGACTCGCAAACAACAAAAGAACGCCTACCGTATCAAGAAAGAACAGTGCAAAGCACAATAAAGCATCCTAAATACAAAAGCAGAAACATTGCTAATGACTATGCACTTGTGGTTCTCAGTCAGCCTTTTAATTTGGATGATCACATTAATGTTGTATGTTTACCACAACAAGGAGCTATTCCTAATCCAGAAACCACGTGTTACTCTACAGGCTGGGGTAAGGATGTGTTTGGTTCTCTGGGAAAATATAGCGTCATAATGAAGCGTGTGCCCTTGCCTGTTGTGGATTTCGACTCTTGTCAATCTCGATTGAGAAGCACTCGACTTGGACCTAAGTTTGCACTAGATAGGTCGTTTATGTGTGCGGGAGGTCAACGTGGTGTTGACACTTGCCAGGGCGATGGTGGAGCCCCACTTGCGTGTCCTATTGGTCAAGCTTCTGAAAATAGATATCAGCAGAGTGGCATTGTTGCTTGGGGAATTGGCTGTAATGATGAGGTACCAGCCGCTTATGCCAGTGTAGCCCTAGCACGCGATTGGATTGACCAGCAAATGTTAGCAGGCGGTTTTGGGACGGCTGTGTACACCGCTTGATTTCTAGGAATCTCAAGCTAATGTTAAAACAGATGTATAAATAAATAAAGATTAACAACCATAAAACTACTTTGTTTGTCTATGATGAGTCCTGTCACTTGCTCAGTTTAATATAATTAAATAATTAAACTGTGTAAGGAAGTTCGACGGCTGGGGTAAGCCTCAGTCACGTCCAAGGTCCTCCTTAACAGAAAAATTTGTAAAGATGTGGGACAAAGTGTTTTGACGGACGGCAAACTGACATGAGATGGTAATGGTCAGTTACCGGGATACGCAGCCAGAAAAATGGCTGATTCGGTCTCTGCAATAGAGCGAAATATTCGTCGGAGCGCGTTTTGGGTCGGGCCCATAGCAATCGCTAGAAGGAGACCGAAAGAGGGGTCGATTTTGGGGACCACCGTTTCCTAGGGCAGGGTTTATGGCCTAATATCTAGGCATTTTGGGCAAATATTCTACGTAATTCATGGCCAGCGTGACCGGGGGTCGTTCCCTCGCGAGCTGGACTCGATCGGAGTCGAAGATTTTACTTGAGAAAGCTTTTCTTGAATTTATTTAATTTCTCCTCATTTTAAATTTATCTGCGTTTATTTTTCTCAGTGTGGGCCGTGGGTAGATAATCCGCGAGAGCAGGAATATATTTTTGAATAAAATTTACTTAGGTCTCATTATAAAAGTTCGGAGGAGAAATTTCTCCCAGTGTAGGCCATCCCCCGCAAGCACCAAAGGAAAATTATAAATACATCCGGAGTTTATGTTTAATTAGTTTTCAGTTTCATTATTTATTTATTTTTACTTGAGTTGTATTTTCTTCAAAAGGTTTATTTTTCAGTTTTCATTGGGTTTTATTTTTATTTAAATCAAGTTGCATTTTCCCAAAATTTCTCTCTTTTAGTTTTCGTTTTGGTTTTATTTGAATAATAAAGTTTGCAGGGAATTTTAACAAAAAAAATATGGTTAGATGTCGGGGCATTATTTCTAGCCTACTCTAGCGAAAACCGCATCCTGGCCATCGAGAAATTTCTATTTACACCGGTACCCGCTGGCCAAAATGCGATCCTCCTATACACTCACCCGTCTCCGTTTTTCCGCACACACACACGTGCCTGCCGGTGGCTGCTGCTTCCGCCACGTCCTCGCCGTCCGCTTCCAAAAGAATTTGCCTCCTTGGCCGTCGAGAAAAATCAAACTCCGCTGCACGTCACTGGCTGCCTCACGATCGTTGGGGCACTCCGTATAAATTGTCACTGTCAATAGGCACTTTTTCCGCACTCGTTGGTCGCAAGAAAAAAATATAACTCCGTCGCTTGAAAAAAACACTCCCGTTTTGGCTTCGCTGTGAAAAGAACTCCGTCGTCCGCTCGCACGTCTCTTCGATTTCGTCGCCTCCGCAAAAGTAAAATCAAACCACGCGGCTTTGCCAAATTTTCGGCCGCGCCGGTAACTTTCCGTTGCTCATTGCATTGCGGTGCATCAGCTTCCCTCTCGCTCTCTCCTGTTGGCGCGTGCCAAATTTCGGGGGTTGCTTTGCGCTCGATCGTATGCTCGCTCTCCGTTGCTCTCATACGGCGCTAACTCCGTGGCCACTTGTTCGTGGTGAATAGCTCTCTCTGCTCTCCGCGTGTAGATGTGTGTGTGTGTGTGTGTGCGGGGTCTAGAGATGTGAGAACGGGGAACCAAAGATAATTACAAATTTTTGTCTATGCTTATAAATGACTATGTTATTATATTAAAATATACGCCGCTTATTGTATAAAGAAATAGGGGAATGCTTATATCTACAATGATTTATATATACCAAGCTTATAGTTACAAAGGGCGAAGTGATAAAGTATTTTACAAGAAATATATTTATATATTGACAAAGAGAATAATTGGGCGTTTGTCGTTTTGTTTTTTTGTTTTCGCTGCTCGCTGCGGCTGTTGCTATTGCCGCTGCTGTTGGCCGCTGTTCTGGCCGTTTGTTGTGGCCGTTTGTTGATGACGTCGACGTTGGTGACGTGGCCGTTGTTCTGGCTGATGTTGTTGCCGTCGTTGCTGGCGCGGATGGCCGGTGTTAAGGCTGTTGTTATTGCCGCCGCCAGTATTGGTGGGGAGTCAGACGACTCCTCACATCCTCCCCTTACTTCGGGGTGCGCTGAGAGATGGTGACCACGTTCCCCTTGCTGAAATGGACCCTGAATTCCACTGGGCCCGCGTAGTACAGGAATTTCCTGCTCACTCGCCTGTTCGCTGCCTCCTGTGGTTGGACGCGCTCGACCACAGAGCGTGGGATCCGTCCTCCCGGGATCCGGATACGCCAATGTCGTGGCGGCAGGACCCAGTCCTCATCGGCAGTGGGATACTCCTCCTTCTCCTCGGCTGCGGGGGTGGCAGGCGGACCCTTGCTCGGCACCGGTGTAGGGCGGTTGCGTTGTTCAGCTCGCTCTCGGTGGGCCTTAGCGAGACAGTCCTTATCGTACTGCACAAACCAGGGATCGGGGGGCAGCTCGCTCGCGCTGCGCTTGGGTTTCGGCTTTGGCTTCAGGCCGCATATCACCCCGGACGCGGAGAAAATGGTGCGTCGGGCAACGTCGGCCGGGTCGAAGTCCGACATGCTGCTGGCCCGCCGGTGTCTCTCGTAGATGGGGCCCACGTCGTCGTCCTCCTGGCTGCCGTCGGCGTCGGCTGCGCTCCCGTTGCTGCCCTTGCTGCTAGGGCCTGTGGCGACTACGTCGTTGTTGTCGCTGCTCCCGTCCGGTCGACCGTGGCGGTTCTCCTCGGGTGTCGCCGACCTCGAGGTCCCCACGGCCGACGCGAACACCACCCGGCGACGTGCGACTGGCACCCTGTTGGGCACCGCCGCGGCTGCGCCGGCGTGGCTAACTGCGCGCTGGAGATCGGGCAGTGGTCTACGGCCCGCTAAAATCTCGTCAGCGTGCTCCATCGCCTCGCTGAAGGCCTCCCAATCGATGTCCTTGGGCAGGAATCCCTCGGCTGGATATCCCAGCACCACGTCATCCGGGCGGGGAACTTCCACGGTGGCCGCGGCTGATGTCGCTGCGCGCCACAAACGGCCAGGCTTGTTCGATGCCATTGTCTCTGTAGAGGGAGAAAAACAAAGGTTTATTAGCTCGCGGTTGTGATGATTACTAACTAAGGTTTTAAGGAAAGTTAGTAATAAGGGCAAAGATTCGCTGTGCTGGCACTGGGAGCGTTGAGTTTCCACTAGGGAAAGTGGGACGTTGGGAAGGCGCACCCTCCAGCAAGTGGCCCCACTGACTCAATTGTTGGCTCCTGTATCAGTGTTCCTCGGTGGCTCTTGCCTCGGCCAGATCGAGCGTGACTCGTCGGCTTCTTTTGAGCAAGTTGGTTGCTGTTTGCCGTCTTCATACGGACTTCCGTGACTGCTGCTGCGTGGCTATCGCCGTGTGTTCTCCCGCCGTCTGCGGGTATCCTTGCCTTCTGCGTCTCTGCTGCTGCTGCTCTGCTGCTCAGGGGTTTAGCGCTCCTCGATCGCTAAACTTGCTCCGAAATCTGTGTGTCTTCTACGTGGTCCAGTCGGCTGGGTACCAGATTCTGTGTTTCTGGCTCGTTGACTGCTTCCTTCAAGTCCCCAAGGGCTGCTGTTCGACGTTGCCGGCTGTGAAGATGCTGCAAGCGCACTATGGTGGGAGAGAAAAATTTGATTACTTTGTAAGGGCCTTCATATTTGGGAGCGAGCTTGGCGGCAAAGTTATCCGCCGCCTTAGACAAATGATGCTGCTTTACAAAGACCAGTGATCCTATGGTTGGCCTCCATGATCGTCGTCTGAGATCATAATGCTTGCGCTGTTCCAACGACGCCCGTTGAGTGTTCTCTCGAACCACCTTGAAAATATCCCGCAGCAATTCCGCCTTTGCTTCTGGTGAATGTGGCGCTTGGCTTGGTCCTGGAGTCACTTCATCATACAAGGCTCCTGGGAGTCGTGGCTCTCGGCCTTGAACGATGAACGCCGGACTAAATCCGGTGGAGTCGGAGACGCTGCTATTTATCGCCAGGTTCAACTCGGGCAGGAGTTCGTCCCAAGTCGTCTGCTTGTCCTCGATATACTGGGCGACCATTGTTTTAATGGTTCGATTGGCCCTCTCTGTCGGGTTCTGCTGCGGGGTATATGGCGCTGTGTACTGGATCTCCATCCCTGCCTGCTTACAAAAGGATTTAAATGAACGACTCGTAAACTGTGTCCCATTGTCACAGACAAAAGTGCGAGGAACTCCGAAGTGATTTAAAATCCTCTCCCTAAAGGATTTTTCGAGATGTGCTGAGGTGGCTTTTCTAAGTGGGACCAGCTCGACCCACTTCGAGAACGCGTCGAAAAATACGAGCAACATTGTATTCCCACCTTTTGATCGCGGAAGAGGCCCAATAAAATCGGCGCAGACAGTATCGAATGGCTCACTCACCTGCCTGGTAAACATTTTACCCGCTGGCTTGGCTTGACTAACTTTGAATCGCTGACAAGTGTCGCACTTGCGAACGTACCTGGAAATATCGCGAAAGAGGCCCGGCCAGTAGTATCTCTGGGCGATCCGGGCGGTTGTCTTCCTGATTCCCAGGTGTCCTGCCGTGGGCTGGTCATGGCATTCCGCCAGTACTCGCTGCCGGTGTTCCTTGGCCACACACAGTTTCCATGGCACGGAGTCTTCGTCGTCGGGTCGAGATCCGATGTGTCTATACAGCTGCTGGTTCTCATATACGTAGTCCGGGTAATCCTCAGGTCTGTCCTGTACAAGCTTCACCATCCGCTGGTACCATGTACTCTCCGGCTTATCCTCCTGGATCATCTGTAGTACCTCCAAAGGCTGTCGAGAAAGTGCATCCGCGACGACGTTCTGGCTCCCGCGTCTATAGGTGACATCGAACTGGTACTGCTGGAGCTCTAGCGCCCAGCGCGCTACACGGCCGGTGGGATTCTCAATCGAGTTGAGCCACTTCAGAGCGAGGTGATCGGTTATCACTTCGAATCGGTATCCTTCCAAGTAACATCTGAGCTTCCTGATGGCCCATATGATAGCCAGACACTCCTTTTCCGTGGCGGAGTAGTTTT